CAGCACTAACAGCTGCTACAAACACCTTTGCACAGCTAAACACGGTGAAAGAAGAAATACCTTGATGAAGTTGGCATTGATGTAATGAGAATCTGTATCTGATGTAATCAGGGACAGCTCCACTCTGCTGTGGTCAACTGCAGGCACAAAAGCAGAAGCAGCAGCAGTTACTGTTTGTCTTTCATGGCAGCTGAGCTCCTCAGACTGCAGCACAAAGTGTTTTGGAGGAGCACATACATCAGAGAGCTCATCCCAGAGCAGGTGAGTGGCTGTGCAAGCAGCTAATGCCTCCTCCTGCATGGAACTGCTGTTGCCTACACGTGAGCAGCAGATGGGTGAGATCTCCTTCAGAGAGGTGGTGAGGGCTCAAGCAAGAGCTGCAGATGCTGCCACTACCCCAATGCAACACCAGTCTCCTCTGACCATGGAGCAAGCCAAGCCTAAAATCACCCTGCACTCCATCTTACAGGCTGAAATGAGGTCTGTGGGTTTAGATTATTTTTTTTTCCAAGCTACAATGGATGAAAGGGACAGCCTGCTCTCATCATGGGACAGACTTTTCTTTGGAGCCTACTGCATCCAGCCAGGACAAGCTACAATAGCTTTTGTCTGTAGTCTGGCTTTGTACATACGAAGACATCTTTGTCCAAAGTCATTCCCTACAAGGCTTTGGAAAACAAGTGGTTGCAATGCTACCCAGAGAGCTTGCAAGGATAATCATTAGAGGATGTTTTTCCTATGGAATAGAAGTTCTTCTACCTGTAGAAAATACATGCCAAAGTCTTCCAGAGCACACACTGCAACAGTCAAAGATAAAGCCTTAAATCTGAACAGCAGAATTCAAGGCTAACTCCCATGCAGCAACTGTGCAGGCAGATACTGCAGGATGGGAACAGACCCAAGCTAGGAAAGAAAAAAAAGGTTGAATAAGAACATTTGCCATTTCCAACCTACAGGGTAAGATGTCCTTGTATCTGTTCTTCTTGATGTTCTCTGGTTGCTCAGATGCTGCTGTAGGGTAGATTTTATCCAATCTGTACTTTGTTGACTGCCTTTTCAGCTTCTGCAATAAAAAATGGAACAAATTACAGCAGAAGTGCTACATCCAACACACTACTAGAGAATATGTGTGAAGGTCTCTAGGGGTCAGGTTCACCACCACAAAGCAAGGTCTGCACCATTAATTCTTTCCTGAGTAGCTTTTCTCGAGGTACTTAGAGCAAGAATAGAGAGAGAAGCCACTGAGAGCCCCAGCACAGGCTTCTGAAGAATGGAAACTGTGTGCTGAGGCAGTGCCCACACGAGGCTCGGGCACAGAGGCTTCTGAAGTCAAATGATGCATTGGTACAGCACAGAAAGCATTGCCCTCACACATGAGTGAGGCACAGGGGAACCATTCTCAGTACCAATGGCACCCAGATAAGAGCAGCATGTTAAACCACCTTTAACAATGAAAGCAGAAAAGGCAGATATCAATTGATGTTCCTCACTTTGGGGAAGGTGCTCCCATCTGTGGCTGCACACAGCAATGCTTGAGCCGCTGAAGGAGCACGAGCAATTGGAGCAAAGTAGCTACAAGCAGTGATGAAAGAGAGAGGAGAAGGAGTCCTAGGACAGGCCACAGGGGTATGAATCTCTCGTCTCTTTCATTTCCAGTATAAAGCTGCAGCACCCTCAGAGAATTCAAGCATCTTTTTTCTGCCAAAGCATAGAAGTTCATTTCACTGACATCAGCTTCCGAATCACACACACTGTTCGTTACCGTCAGTTTCAAAAGCACCATTCTTGCTCTATTTTTTCTTTCATAATTTTTTGTCTACTCTCCAGGGTAAGCTTTCATGGAAGGGGTGTCACTTCGTACTGAAGCCAGACTGCTCATGGCTGAGGCTCTGAATCACCTTCCTTTTCTGTCCCTGCATAAACTGCCATAAAACTGCTTGGGAAATGCCTACACATGAGACAGCAAGCGAGAGCAGTAAGGATCAAACTCTGGCTGTGAGACTGCACACAAACAGAAAAAGAGGACTTAAACAAAACCCCTTGTCATTTACAGCAACAACACCGCGATCAGCAGGTACAAATGCTTGTTCACACAAAGAGAGGGGAGGCATTAGGATGGAGAGACAGCATCAAACATTTATACTGAATTTGGAAATGCAAAAGTGACCGGCATGTCAGGCCATCCTGGGAAGATCTCTTCCCAGTACGAGAGGAAACGCAGCCTTGACCACTTCTACCTGCCATTATGGTCAGAAAATTAACGGCTGCTAGAAGTAGCCCATGCAGCAGAGCCTGGCACCCTAATGCCTGACACAACACAGCACAACCCCGGCCCCGCAGCGAGAGGGGGAAATTCAGCAGCGTGTCACAGCACTTTGTTCCATGGAACAACAGACTGTCACTGCAGACCCAGATTAATCACTTCCCTCCTACCCAGACACCTCGAAACCAAGCACTAAGCTTTTCCCAAGTGTTTGAAGTGCCAGTCTTCACTGGGATGACAAAGCAGGGCTGGATCTTGTGGGGACTCCGAAGTGACCCCTGCACCTTCCTCAGAGAACATTGCCTGATGCAACCCTTGGCCAGGCAGGTAGCTCAGGGCCAGTGGTTATTCTGGTGTCTGAGACCTCTGAGATCTCACAGATGTACCACTTCTACCCTTCCCCATGTCTGCTAAAGCTGGGCAGTGCCTTTGCTTCTGAGGGCAGCCCAGGCAGCCTGCCAGAGCAACCTTCCTGCAGCTGACAGATCAGCAGCTGTCGCCAGCCATCAGCTTTAACTGTGAGACCGTGGATTGCCATCTAGGACTCACCCCTGCCACCCAAACAAATAAAAATATGTCAGAGAGCTCACAGATCAGGGCACTGCACAGATCTCAACCAGCTGGACACTGCAGGATGCCGGGGAAGGCAAGAACCATCAGCATTTTTTGCTAGCTTTGCCTTTATGGAACAAGAAATTAGTTTCCAGGAGGGGCCAGAGGCACTGCTGGATGCAGAGCACGTACATTCATCATGAATGGATCCTCCCAGCACGGCGCTGGCAGCTGGAGAAAAAGCCCACCCAGCTGCTCAGGTCACCATCTCCTCGTGCCTTGGCCAAGGTGCCCATGTCGATGAGAGGTGGAGCAGCCTGGGCTCCACAGGGCATCTCCCCGCTCTGCAGGTGGCACAGGGGCAGGGTGGGGGGCTTCTTATTGAAATGAAAAAAGGAAAAGCTATCTCAGGTAGCAACTGGAGATCCCTGACAGAACACGTGTGTCACGGATAGAACAGACTGCAGCGGGGAGAAGGAGCAGGGGCTCCACATTCCTCACTGTACCCCCAGTTGTGTTACCAGGCGAAGTGAAACTGCGTCTTGACAAGCGCATTCGCGAAGCAGAAAACAGGAAGCACTCGGGTAATTATTTAAGAAGCAAACAAACAGTTTTGCTTTGAATGCAAACTATTAAATTACTCCTGTGTCTTTGAATTCCTTTTACCCCAGTTAACTCAGGTGTCTCTTTCTGCTGTAAAACTCATAGAAAATCTTTTTGCCACATGCCAACCATGTCCCCGTTTGAGGAGAAGCGACCGAGCGGTTCCTTTAAAATCAACTGAAACACAGAGCTGTGCCTTAAGCAAACTCACCAAGAACTCATCCACAAACTCTTCTCGGTTGAGCTTCTTGTCTTGGGCCCTTTCCAGGTTTTGCAGCAGAATG